TGGCGGAAGGCGGAAACCGGCGCCATCTTTTAGGCGCGGTAATCTGCAGCTCCCAACAGAGAATCTATGTTTACTGTACAAATAGTCCATGGGGACCACCTACATTTTTTGAAAACAATAAATGCATGGATATCAAAACAGAGAAAATTATACTGTGCCTGTCTATCATCCTGGGTTTCTGGGCTTCAGGTGTGTCAAGCAAACAGCTTGGACCGAGTTTTAAGAACAGCAGGCTCCTTCTGGCTTTGCAACTGAGAAGCTTTCACCAGTCCCCAAAACCTGTAGGTCTTTTTCTTTCATTTGTGGAAGGAGAGAATTGAACTAAAAGATTCACAGGTCCTCTCCAAGTCTAAAATCCAATTAATCTGCATTCTGGCCATTAATGCACACTAATCCTCACCCAGTACACTGCGGGGAGATCTAATAAAATATTTTTCACACATAAGAATATGTCCCATGCCTGAATTGCTGATAATGTGACAAGGCCTGACATCCACTAATGCATTTATTCTAGCATGGTGCCATCCAGGAAGGCTACTGTCCCTCTGCTTTACAGCTGAGGATGCTAAGCCTCACAACAAACTGGTTTAGGGAATGTCTGATTCTATCAGATTTTCTCTATCCCACCATACTATGTACCCTTTCATAACTTATAGGCTCTTGTGAGCCACAAGACCTTTGAAGGACGAGTGTGAAAACAGTGGTGTCATTTATTTAGATTAATAAGTGGGTAAAAGAATGCAGTGCCAAGCAAACAGAGAGGCCATATTTCATACTCCTAGCTTTGCAGATGTGGAAAAATGATAAGGGATGTTAGAATGAGGGTGCATCATTCTCTTCCCCTTTCTCCTTACCTATCTAGTTTCTCCCACCTTCTTCCTTTTCTTTTTTCCTTTATTCTATTCTACAGTTCCCAAAGTAAGTATCTTTCCATTCCTGGAAATATGAATTCACATAAGCTATAAGTGTGCTTTTGTTCCCATCGGCTACCTGCTGACTGCTGAATGCTAGCCTGCCATGTCTTCTTTCCCCTTTACTCTAATTGCATGACAATTCAAACTAGAAGAATATGGGGCTTTGCTATGGGGAGTTTTTAGTCACACCATCTCATTTCATACAAACCTCATTTGTTTATACTCATGGATTAAAGGAATTGAAATGTAAAGTTTTCAAGGCATAAAATGTAGTTTCAACACCTGTTTAAAAGCTGTACTAAGAGACTTTTTATTCATTTAAGCAAAAATAAGCATTTCTGCATCTTAAAGAGATAAGAACATCTCAGAAAGCAGCAAATAAATTCAGAGCTTGCTCATGATGCATAAATTCACTAACAATATTTTTTGCCTGATTTCTTCTAAAAGAGACATATTGTAATATTGCAAGTCATGAAAATGTAACTCCTTCACAACCAAGTTATTCAAAATGAAATACAAACAAATTAGATGACACCAATGCAATAATCAGAAACTGAGCAGCCAAGGTGTAGGCATGTGGATAGGTTTTACATTAAGTACTCATTGAGAGAAAACCAGAAACACACATGTATAATCCAGTGTGTGTGTGTGTGTGGGGGGATCACATATGCATTTTATTCGTAAACCAAGTAACTATGATATCTACATAGAGCCTCATATCATTTTGCTTTTTGTTTGTTTGCTTGCTGTTTTGTTTGTTTGTTTGTTTGTTTTTGAGATAGAGTTCCTTTGTGTAGCCTTGGCTATCCTGGAACTAGCTCTGTAGAACAGGCTGGCCTTGAACTTTGCCTGCCTCTGTCTCCTGAGTTCTGGGACTAAAGACTTCAGCCACTTGCTGGTGCATGACTTTATTCCCAGAACTCAGAAGGTAGAGACAGGCAGATCTCTCTTAATTCAAGGCCAGCCTGGTCTACAGAGCAAGTTCCAGGACAGGCTCCAAAGCTACAAAGAGACTCTGTCTCAAAAAAAGCAACAACAATAAAAATAACAACAATAAAAAGATGGTGAGCCACCATCTCCCAGCTTCATTTTGCTTTCTTATTGTTTCAAAAATAGCAATAACCCGTATCTAGATCCATTTGAGGGATTGACATTCATTTCTTCTCTTTCAAATATGTATTTTTACATCTTAGCCTCTAGAATAATTATCAAAACTAAATTACCATAAGGTAATAATCAGTATTATAATTTTTTTGTTTTTTTCAAATCTTGATCTATGACTCTAGATTATGAATGATAAAATGAGAAGAACAAGACAAGAGTTTATTTGCTTACAATAGTGACTGAACTCAGTCATGGACATGTGTGAGTTTATATAAAGCATTGAAAATAAGAAATGAAATAAAAGTCTTCAAAACTCTGAGAACACAACAGTTTTGGGTGGATGGGTGAGATGGAGCCTCCAGGGTCGGTGCTACTAAAGAATATAACCTCAAGTTTGCAGACTGTACTCAAAGTCTGCAGTTGTTTGAAGGCCTGGATCTAAATAGATTTCCTCTGGACACTTTCAAACCAGTTCTCTTGGGGATAAGGCACTATGTGCAATTACAATGAAATCATATTAAGTAGATGTGGAAAGGGCTGTGTAACATATTGACCCAAGCTGCCTGCATTGTTAGTGATGATTTAATTTAAGGTTCCCAGAAGAAGGTGCTCATGTCTAGAGACCACTTGTCCAACTCAGATCCCAGCCATAACACAAAGGACCTGTTCTAGTCCACCCACATTTCATGCAGCAGCTCATAAAAGCCCAGAGAAATGGACTAGAACTTTCTCAACTCCTTGGTGTTGGTCATATTTTCCCCATTGTGCTCTTTCCTTCTGGGTTTTAAAGCTTATTTTGCCTATCTGGGTTCCTAACAACTCTCTCTAAATGTATTTTTCTAGGCTGCACACCATTCAGCAAACACTAGACTATCCTATTGTTATCTTGCTATCACTATTCTTTTAAAGAAAGGTCATTTTAATAAAATAAAACATAAACAATCTTCAAATTTTATTCTTTAAAATGAATACAATTTTAAGATAACACTGCAAATCTCACAATGCCAAATCTCTTTAATATCTGTGCCATTTTTAGGGATAACACTTTTTCTTGGGAAACTTTTGAATGAACCCTCTATAAGCCAATACTAGCACAGGAAAGAAAATAAAGTTTAGAGGGGAGATATACAGAAAGAAAACTAATAATCAATGAGAGGGGAGATGAGAAAAGGAAATAGTGGGTGAATATGATCAAAGAATACTATATACCTGAAGGAGAAGTCACAATGGAAGCCATTAATCTGCAGTTAGCATACATTGGTGAGAAAGAAGAAAAGGAAAGAAAGTCATGTAGGGGAAGGAACAGGACAGACTACTAGAACAGATTAGACATCTGTTTAATTTAATTACATCCTAATAAAATATTGGTAGCTGACAAATGAAGGAACAGAAGGAGAAAGTATTTGCTCTCTAAATTCTCTTCCAAAACCAATTTCTTTCAAAGGTCTTTGTATGTGAATTCAAAACTTCTGTCCCAAATATAGAACTTCATTTTCCTACTACCTCAGATCCAATCTTTTGCTTCCTTATGCTGCTGCACACAATATACCAAAAATACTTTGTCCCTTTCTCAATGAGTCAGAATAGCCCTTCATCTTAAGGCTTGCAGTCCACTGAGCTTTTACCTCTCATCAAGAGATGCTAATATTTCTGGATACAGAATTTTGCTAACACCCATCTTTTACTGATACTATGACTCAATTTAAAGACACTATGGAACAATCAATTAAGGAACATATTTAATTCCAGGATATACATACCATCATGATAATTTGATGAATTAAAATATCCTAGAAAAATATGCTAAATAGACATCTGCATGCTCATATCCTCTGCAGCACTATTCACAAAAGCCAATGAGTGGAAATAACCCAGTGGCCATCAATTGATAAATATATAAAATGTGGTTCATGTAAACCATGTAATACTAGAGTTGGGAGGTATTCACCAGAAAAGATTTCCTGGAAACAAGTGTCCTAGTGTAGTTTCCAGCCTTTTTCATTTTGAGCTTTAAATCACAAAAACCACATCCTGATTGACATGCCTCAGTTAACAAGAACAGTTAGCCAGAAGTAGAACTACAGAAGACAAAAAGCAAGGTTACTACAGTTAAGGACTTTCCCAGAACTATGGTCATTGATGGATTAGGAATTTGTTCTTGTTTCAGCAGGTGGTGTTGCCTACATGCTGGGTCCCATGGCCTTAATGTTACTTCTATCTTGGCATCAGTTGTTTTAATGTCTGGGGACTTGGTTCTCTAGTCAACCATAAAAAGAATAAAAGCCTGCCATTAGTGACATTGGTGGAGTTTGAGATTATTTTAATTAAAATAAACCAAACTGAGGAAATCAAGTTCGACAAAATTTCACTCCTATTTAGTGTAGGCATTGGAACTCAGATGGAAAGGTATCCTGACAGTCAGGAGCCAATGAATACCACAAAATCACTGTAAAAGTAGCAGTTTACAGCTTTGCTCCAGGGAAAGATTTCCAAATCAAGTACAACATATCTGCTCTTTTAAGGGAAAGTTACATAGTGTTACGGTTCTGCTCTGCTGTCTCCAGCAAAAGTTGTTATAGCTGGACTCAGCTCAGGCAAAAGTGTCACACTGCACAACAAACCTCATTCAAAAAATTTATTGAGAAGGAAGTATTCAAGGGAAGGTGGCGGTGGAACTGATCTGTAAGCTGTTACACTTACAGTGACTTTGTGGTATTCTTTGGCTCCTGACTGCAAGAATATCTTTCCATCTAAATCCCAATGTAGGGGAAGCTGTAGCCACGCCTACCTAGGGGCTGGCTACAGATATGCCTGACCACGCTTGCGAGGGCGTGGTCAGGATGATGTACAGCGATACTGGGATGGGACTTCGAGCTCTCTTTCAGTTTCACTTTTGGGCTTGCGTATGGACTACTGCCACGCTGGCTGGCTAGGTCACTCTGTAAGTAAGGCTTTTCCCTATTAAATACCCTTATATTTCTACCTGACTCCGTATTGGTAATTTCCCACTATATTCCAATGCCTACATGAAGGATGCAAAAATGTGACCTCATAGAGTTTGAGAGTTAGTCAATAGGAACTGAGCTAAAGTTAGAGAGAGTAAGAAGTGCTGGTGTTTGGTTGCACAGAAACAGCTGACCTGAACAAAGGGGAGCACGTGGACCCCAGAGAGATGTCTGGGAGGCCAGCAC